CAAGAGCGTTCTCCCTCAAGCTTCGTACGACTACACGAGCAATAGGCCTCACGCCGACAAGTTACGATCCTGAGCTTGAATTCAGTCAGGATCTGTTAACGGCAAAACATGTCGACGATATCAACATGACAGGCCTAGAGAAAAACGTAGATGCTTGTGTACAACGTGTCGAGAAGGTGTTTGGCAAATTCAAACTCAACAGACATTATTATACGAACTGCGCCGTTCGCTACACTAAGAATGAACAAGGGGATGTGATCATGGATCATGACGAGTACATTATACAACTACGTCCTATCACACACCCTGAACTTACGGGAGCGGCGGCTGACGCCAAAGCTACCAAACTCATCACCGACATAATCGTTAGCCTGCGTGGAGCTCTCGCCTATGCCCTTCTTATTCAAGTCTGGCTTATGGTGTATGTGGTCTCTCTCCAGAAGATCCAAGAGCCCACCAACTTACAAGTCAGACGACTGTATGCTGCGACGCGAAAGCTGATCAGCAGCCCGAAACGCATCACCTCCCCCCAGATGAAACCGACGAATGAAGTAGACATGCACAGTGATTCGGGGTATCGGAAGCTCACCGGGGAGGAAGACGATGAGACCAAGGGCTGCGGCATCCGTGGGGCTAACGTATTACGGCGAGGAAACTCGCCTCAAGGCAAATCCGTCATTCACCTTTGCGACGGACTATGCAAAACACACCGATTGCAGGTGAGGTCCAGCTATGCCGCTGAGGCACTTGCAGCTGCACGCAATCTCGATGAATGTTATCCCACGCTCATCACTCTCCACGAGCTCAAGGCAGGGGCACTTGCTCCACGACCACTACGAGATATGCGTGAAGTTGGAGGCCTAGCTATCAAAGTCTCCCTTGCTATAGACGCTGAGTCTGTATACAAATCGCTATCCAGCAAAGATCTTAATATACCGACGGAACGGACTTTGCTGGGACATATCAGCTGGATACCATGAGCTCATGGATATAGGTCTAGTGCATAACGTGCAGTGGTGTGATACTAGAGACATGACCGCAGATGGGCATACAAAGGGGAGTTTCGATCGGGAGCCGCTTTTGGAAGTGGTGTCAGGCACTCAGTAATTCAAATATGACGTGAAGCAGTTTGTTCCCTTTCGGGGTCCTGAGGACAGAAGTAAGCCTAAGTCAAATCAGTTTTAGTCTGTCCTTGTTGCCCCCGCGGTCCAGTTTGCCAGTACGGGCGCCTAACACAGAGGCGCCCTCCTAGTTGCTCGGAAACGAGCCTGACTTTTCAAGCTTGGCAACGAGCCTGTTCAGATTGATTCAGGCTCTTTCCTTTAATACCTTTTTGCTTGGAGAGGTATAGCCTGTTTGGCTCACCTCTAGCCGGGCCGATAGCCCTTTGATGTCCAAGGGGCTATCTTGCGTATGCGTGAAAATGCTTTGCGAGGAAACTCGCCTTACAGCCTGGTGTTAGGCCAGACTATACGCACTGTTTTTCTTGCAAATAGTTGCGCGCGCGGCCTTTGTAGAGCCTAACGGCTGCGCGGCTATACTCACCGTCTCCTCCCCTCCTGACTTTAAGGGTAGCTCTTTGGGGGATGTTATAGAGGATCGGGAGTATAGCTCGCGCGCCGTTGCCTTTGGCTCAAGGCACGCGCGCCCTATTTGCCCGGACACTGCGTGTGTTCGCTATGTGCTGGAAAGATCACTACATCGATCTTATCCTATCTTATCCGTCCACTCCCCATACTGAACCAACACAGCATGGCTTTGGACGCTATCTGCCATCCGCTTCCCATGGAATCGGATGCTATTTGACTTACCATAGTCATTTCAGACTGAGTGGTCCACAAAGGTTGTCATGGCGGACGCCTGCGGGACGGGCCGCGCATCTGTCGTGGGCGAGTGGGAGCTGTCGGACGCGCAGAGAGCTGGTCGTTGGCACGAGCGGTGGCGCTTCCGCCGCGCACGCGAGGCCGACGGGGGCTGGCGGCCGCGCGACAGCGCGGCCCGCGCGGCCGAGGTCGCCGAGCTCGATGCACACCCGCCTGTCCTATTGCAAGGGGGTCGAATTAACGAAATTCCCTGAAGCGTCGACGCACGCCATCCGCCGCATTACCTGGGCGACCATGCACTACTCGCCGCTTTTTGGGAAGGGGCCTATGCATCGCAAGGAAGCAAGAGGAGACTTACACGCCGCGGAGCTGATCTTGTCGGACGCGGACTCCTGGGGGAAGAGGCGCGCGGTCTCGGGGGGCAACCTAGCACGCGCATTTGCTCTATCTGAAGGACGCTTCCGTGATACATTTCTGCTCAATATCTTGCGCCGAGGGGCCGCTCTGACTCTCGCTTCGGGGGCCCGCATGCATCGACGATGGGTTCCCAGCGAGTTCAATGCGGCCGACCGTGACAACCGCGCCCGCGAAGGTGCTGGAGGGCGCGCTGCACCTGGGGCCGGCTGGCGCGAGACCGCGGCGCGGGGGCGACAGCTCCGTCGCCGCCGCGGCTCGGCCCGGGGCCCCGAGGGCGACAGTCGGCACGGCATCGGCTTGTCCGCGGCCCTCGCGGGCCCGCCTGGACTCGACCGCCCCGGGGCCGGCGCGGCCGCTGCGGCCCCGCTGCGCCGCGGCGCCCCTGCCGACCAGGCGACTGAAGCGCAGTGCGCTTGGGGCCCCCCCAGCGACGCGGGCCCCCCTGCAGCCCTTGGCGCCTCGGAGGCCGACGCGCCGGGGCTCGCGCCACGCCCGTTTGAGACAGGCGAGGCGTTCCGCTTGACGCGTGGCCAGGTCATCCCTCATCGTGCGCAGATGCCCAAGGTAACAATCCACATCAACCCCGACTACATGAAGAGGCCCAGCAAGACTGGCGAGATGGACGAGACAGTGGACTTTGCGCGGCCCTGGCTAGGGGGCCTCCTGGCATGGCTGGCGCAGGGCCCGCCCAGCAGTTCCCTCTGGAGCTGCACCATGACGGAGGCCGAGGAGATGTTCGAGCGCGCGACCCATGCGCTGTGCCTGGACAAGCTGATGCCCGCGCTGTGCACGGCTCGGCACAGCGGCGCGTCTATCGACCGCTTCACGGAAAGGATCTCGTTGCAGGAGGTGCGGCGGCGAGGCAGGCGGCGTCGGCCCAGCTCGGTCAGGCGCTACGAGAAGCGGGGCCTCATCCAAGCTGCGCGGAGCTTGATGGAGCCCTCGGCCAAGAGCTACTGCCTCCAGGCCGAGGCCGAGCTGCCCTCGCTGCCCGCCGCCGCCTCGCTATCCGCCAACGCTTGAGCGGTCCCCGCGCCAAGAGACACTAGTTTTTTCGCCATGGAAATCTTCTCAGGCCCTGAACACTTCTCCAAGTCGCTGCGCCGTCGCGGTTTCAGAGCCGACTCTTTCGATGTGATCCAAGGCCCCGAGGTGACTTTGAGGCCTCCCGTCTTGAAGCGCATCGCACGAATCCTCAAGTCCGACAAATGTCTCGGGTTGCTGGCAGGCGCGCCGTGCAAATCATTCCCCATTGCCCGGGGAGGCCATCGTGCAATTAGATCGTCGCCAGCTCCCTGTGGCCTCCCCTCTCTCCCTCCCCATATGCAGAGTATAGTAGACGAGGGCAACAGACTGTTTCAGGTGTCCATTCAGATTTCTATTTGCTGCAAGCAGATGCGGGTACTTTTTTATAGGAGAATCCTCAGTCATCCGACATGTGGAAAATTGAAGCTGCCGTTCAGGTTCTCCGCTGGCCCGGGGTCCGCGACAGTGTCACTAATTGCTGCGGCTGGGGCACTCCCTTGTGTGAACCTACTAGGCTGAGGTGCTTCCTGCTGCCGAGAGCCGGCGAATTGTGTAAGCGTTGCAAGCTGTCCGTGGCATCTGCTCGTTCTCTGGAAAGAAGCACCGGATTCTCCAGGGTCGAGACGGCCTGGGCATTCACTGGACTGCTCGTGCTGCCGCCTACCCCCAGATGCTCTCAAATCGAATGGCCGATGTGTTCCATGACGCTGCATTCGATCGTGTTTTTTCGGCATACCCTCCGCCTGTACCCCTTCCGTGCGAATGACCCCGGGCCGCGCTGACGGCTGAGAACCGATGGCGACTTCTGGTGCCTCGAAGGTCGGCACGGATCTGTCATGTGCGTTGTGTGTGTGTGTCTCACGCCGGCGTGTGTGTTTCGGAGTTGTGCTGTCAGCAAGGTCGCCACATGCGGATGACACACATGAGAGTTCTGTAAAACATATGGACGCGTTGGGAATTTCCGACTTGTCCTTAGAATGTGCAAGAGATGAATCACAGATGTCCGTATATTTGTCGCTCAAGCCTCCCTCCCTGTCTAACCTGGCGCACGACTCACCCGCCCTAGCTTTCGGCGGGCCGCAAGCACTTGTCTTGGCTGCACGGATCTGTCGCCTTCGCTGAATGAAAAAGCAGAAAACGGCATAAGCATCAGGTTTCGGAGCCCGGCGCGGATTTTTTGGATTGGCGGTGGACAGCACCCCCGGCGCGCCCCGCGCGCCAGGGAGGGGGCTCCAGCGCCGATCCAAAAAATCCGCGCGCAGCTTCGAATGAATATAATTATGCCGTCCTCCGCTAGCACAGGGCAGGTAGCCGCGTCGGCGATGGTTTCCTCAGCTCCCGCTTGACTTGGTGGACCATCGCTCCGCTGTTATATGCGATGTGCGGTCGAGGCAACTGCTGCTCTCCACTGGTGCCATGGCTTCGGGCCCAGCCACAGGGAGAGGAGTTTGAAGGCCATGCGAGAACATGATGATCATGGTGATGATGATGGCCGTGATGGTGACCATGATCATGGTAATGGTCATGGTGAGGGGACGTGACGAGATCCATCCTGGGTGAACGCGGTGAACATGGTGAATGAACATGGTGATGCACAGGTTGGTCAAGGGTGAGCAATGTGATCATGCGAGGGGGAGGAGGAGGAGGAGGACAAAGAGAAGAAAGAGGAGGATCCTGCTCGTGCTGGCGCTGACGGCGAGTTCCTTCGGCGACGGCGGCCGGCCGCCCCCGCAGGAGCGTGCCGGCGCCGCCGCCAGATGCGGACGCAGCCTCGCCGGCAGGGCCGCCGCCGCCCCTGCCAGCTCCGCCCAAGGTGGCGCCGCCGCCGCCGCAGGCCAGCGCTCCGAAAGTTGCATGGTGACCATCGAAGAAGAAAAAACGCCATTCCCTCAACTAGCCTTTCTCTGAGCTGCTTCTCCCTCGGCGCTGCTCTACTGAGGTGGTGACCGACCGTGCGGCGAGATCTTTGCGAATTCGGTCGTCGCACGGTCGATCCAGAAGAAGAAACAAGACATGAACATAAACTTTTGGTGCTCCGCGTGGACCTCTTTGATCTGCAACCCCGCGCGCCAGGGGGTGCCCAGCGCGGATCCAAGAAATCCGCGCGGAGCGCCAAACATCTGCTCCATGCCGTTTTCTCTTCTTCTAGACCGACCGTGCGACGACCGAGTTCGCGAGGACCTCGCCGCACGGTCGGTCACCGCCTCAGTGCCGCAGCACCAAGGGAGAATTAGCTCAGAGAAGGGCCAGTTGAGGGAATGGTAGTTGGCCTGAGGGGGGGCCCTCGTCGCCACGGCTGGACACAGCTGAGCAAGCAAGGATACAGCCAAAGTTGCAGAATATTGGCCAAGCAGATGAACATTTTGGCCAGAGCGTGGGTGTTGCTCATTTCCTTTTTCCAGCCCCAGGCACCCAGCTGACATCTTCGGAGAACAAACGAAGTCCCAGGACGGCCCGTTTACCCCGAATCACATTTGAGTCACTGGTCGGCGTGGACGCTGGACCGTTTGGGAACCCTCAGGCCAAGCGTCATCGCCGCCGTCGACGGCGATGGGCGACTATGCCGACGGCGAGGGGAGGCGACGACGACGAAAGACAACGACGACGACACCGACGACGACGACGACGATGGCTCAAGGCCCCAAGGTTTCCACTTAGGTTCCGCTTACGCTTACGATTCCTACCACAGTATATCCCGATCTCTCGTGCCACCATTCTTGGCGGGGATGCCCGAATGTCACGTTCTCAGTACTCCAACGCGGCCAGAGGCAAACCAACAAAGGATTAACAGCCCATTGCATGAATTGGACGGGATAGAGGTCATAGCCAGACTTGACACAGGAGACCCCACTGAAGGTTCCACAGCTTCACATGCAGGTGTTGTAGGCCGACTTCAGCTACCCACTCCTATGCCCTTCTTAGGAACAGGCGCATCCGGATCAGCAGAAGAACCACTTACATTAAGTGCGATCGCGAATTTGATTGTCACCCAGCTTCACCCAATCCAGCAAGACATCGCGGCCATCAAGAAACACGGCGTCTCCCGCAAGGACCTTGACGACGCCACTGCACCGCTGAAGTCACAACTTGGGAATATGAGGAAAGACTTCGATGCTTTTCATGTCCAGATGAGGATGACTAACATGGAAAAACGATGCAAGAACACATCGACAATATCAAACATGATTTCAAAGACTACGGGAATCATACTCTACGATCCGGCTACTCCCAGAAGGCAGCAGACGAATACCGTTACAACGGCAAGCGTTCGTTCCGTCACAGCGGTCATCGGTAACCTGGATAACTTCGAGTCCGAGGCCGCCGCGACCGAGTTCATCCAGGAACAGCTCGCCAGCCAACATGAGCAGCCCCATTCCCAAGAATTTGTATGCTAAAGGGGATTTTCGTAACATCTAATTCGTGGAGTTTGGCGATTTGCTAGAGCGAGACACCGCCGTAGTTTTCTTCCGGAGCAAACGCTTACAACGGGGTTCCAACACAGTTGGGCATCACAGGATAGAGAACCGTGTGAACGAGCAGCCCGTAGCTTTGCTTTTGGCGTTAAGTATTTGCTCAAACATGATATGGGCAACGAGTACAATTTTACGGCTTGTTTTTTGATCTCCCCTCTCCATGTTCGCGTTCCCCCAGGTTCTAATTTTCGTTCAGTTGTTCTTGATGTACAACCCGCCCCGCAACGAGTACAACATCAGAGTCAACGACTGTGCTCCGTATCAAGTCCATGTTGGCGGCCAGCTGGCGCTCACTGTACGTGCGCGCGATGGCACTACTCACCGCGAGCGGGAGGAAGTGTGGCAGATCTGGGGAGAGCTTTAACAGTTACTACTACTACTACTACTACTACTACTACTACTACTACTACGGCTATTAATGCTACTACTACTACTACTACTACTACTACTACTACTACTACCACTACTACTACCATGAGAAGCTGATCGCCTTGACCGAGAAATGCGACTCCATTATATATCGGTCCCGCCTCGGAATGAAGGGTGCGCCAACAGGCAAATCCAAGGGCAAGGACACGCGGCGGGCACTGGATACAGGTTCTTGCGTGATAGTACTGGACACCAGTGCCAGAGCCGACCAACCACAATCTACATTGGAAACGAATGGCAACTATTTTGAATTTTGCGACGTGGAGATTACGGGCAAAGCCACCGACATGTCCACCGCCACGGAATGTATGCACCCAGTTGCGAGGGAGGACGCCAGGGGCGAAACTACTTTTAAGTCCACCCCTACAGCTACAGGTGTGTATATATAGTCTTCCTTACCCTTCTCTGACTCCTGATCCCACCTCGATGTTCCCTCAAGGATCCAGCATACACTCGACATCATCATTTTCATCTTCATTTTCGCATCCGACTACGGAAGTGGGCAAAAGTACCACCGCCGGGATACAGGTGCCGATTTCAGTTTTTACATGCACGGATGGACTGGATGCCACCGATAGTTTTGTTTCTACCAGTATCGGTTCCTGCCACCACGGCTCCGGCATGGAGGCTTTGGCTGCACATGCTTGCATATCACCGCCTGCGGACGCATCGACTACGCCGGCGACGCGGACCCCACTTTCCGGACAGGGATTTACCCATACGACTCTGGCTCACCCCCTCCGACCTCCAACCTCGCGGCCCAGAGCCTCTACGTGCACCAGGATTTGCGGACCCATGTCCCCAGCATTCTCTCCCGGTTTCGCCGACCCCAGCTTCTTTGATTCCTGTTTCTCCGACTCCCGCTTCAGAGCAGATTTTTATTTCTCCGACCCCTGCCCCCATTTCGGACCTCCAACCCCCCACTCTCACCTCGTACCCTGGGCTTGTAAATCACGCTGACACAACCCAATCAGCAGGGGGCGGACGGGGCAAAAATATGAATGTTATTGGAGATGTCCCTTTAGGCTCACGACACGTCTTACCTCATTCCCAGGAGATTTGTCGCCCGAGGACGTTTCCCGACTACGACGACAAGAAGATTCCCAACATCCCGACTCCTGCTTTCAACCTTGTCCCTGACTCCAGATCCCTCTCTCGATTCCAACCTCCGCCAGCTCAGCACTCCGACCTCCGGCCACTAGCATCCGACCTCCTGCCACCACTTCCACCCATCGACCTCCGACATCCACCGGCTCAGCATTCCAACCATCAACCTCCAACGTTCGCCCTTTTACTCTCACCTCCACCTCTCGACCTCGAGCTGCCGCCAGTCCGGCATTCCTGGCTCCATCTTCCATCGCCCGACTTCCCGCGTCCACCTTGACTTGTCGACCCTCCGCACCCGCCAACTCAATGCTCCGACCTCCAGGCTCCAGCATTCGACTTCCCACCGCTCTCCCAACCCATCGACCCTCAAGCTTCGCCGACTCAACGCGCCGACCCCCAATCTACAGCATCCGACGTCCAACTCCCACCTCCACCCACCGTCACCCAGCCACCACCAGCTCAACAATCCAACCTCCAGCCTCTAACAATCGACTTCTCATGCCCACCCCCACCAATCGACCTCCAGCGTCCGCGAACTCAACACTTCGACCTCCAGCCTCCAGCACTTGACTCCCCACAACTCTCCTAAACCATGGACCTTCAAGATTCACCGACCCAACCTACCGACTTCCGACCTACAGCATCCAACACTTTGCCCCCGCCTCCACCCATCGACCCCCAGCCAACACCATCTCAGCAATCCAACCTCCAGCATGCAACATCCGACTCTCCATATCCACTTGCACCTGTCGAAATCCAGCCCCCCGCCAAACCAGCGCTACGACCTCCAGCCTCCAACGACCGACTGCGACCACAACCCAACATTTACTATCATCCACAAAAACGCAAGGAGCCTTACTACAGACGACTCGATCGACTTTCTGATCTACGAATTAGGAAAAGACATTTGGGATATCGTGGCAATCAACGAGATGTGGGGGACTGAACAACGCGAGATGTGGACTACGAAGCTGGGATCACATGTCTTTGCGGCAGCCGGCCACGCCGCCGCATCAGGGGGCGTGGTTTTCTTGACCCACCATCGGCACGCACGCAGCATCAAGCGTTTCACACGCATCGACGAGCGCATCGCCTACATCAACCTCGACATTGACGAGTGCAGGGTGAGAGTGGCGGCCGCGTGTTTCCCGAATTCCGGCTACGCCGACATTCACGTCCAAAAGATTATACGATTATTTGACCGCCATTCACGACGACGCCGTCCACCAGAAACGAACCACAATTATCATTGGAGATTTCAATGCCCAAGTCGGAAAGCACCCCAACAACGCGGACGACGATGCAAATCACAGCACAAGCCGAAGACCAATTGTGGGAGCGCATGTAATGGGAGACTGCAACACGCGCGGGGCGCGGTTACGGGCATGGGCCAACACGCGCAAAATGCTTATCACGAGCGCTATGTTCCACAAACACAACCACAACACTTTTACGTGCACCAGCAGTGGCGAGCATCCAACCCAGCGGCAAATTGACTACGCTCTCATCGACAAGAACCGCCGCAACCAGATGCTCGACGCATTTGCCACTCATACTCCGGACCTCGGCTTCGACCATCAAGCATTTTGAGTGAAATGTCTTCCCCGACGCAAAGACACGCAGAAGGAGCAAACGCAAGCGACGAACACCCCATCTATCTTCATTCCCGCATGCCGCCGACCCACTTTTCCAGCAGCGCTTGCAGCACTGACTCGGCGACTACGACTGTGCAGTTGACGCAAATGACAGGCGCGCCCGCATCAGCGACGCCCTTGTCCGAGCGCACGAAGAACATCGCGAACGCGCGGTCGGCACTGCGAAATTACGCGAGCTAATCGTCCAACGACG